GGCAGTTTTTTGCTACCCTTTTCCCCTTCTACCTCTCTTCATCTGCGCTGCAGTGGGACCTCTCAAATTGCGCCACCCACTCACGGATTCCCTCTCTCCACTGGGTACGGTCCTGGGCAAGGGTCTCCCAAGTGTTGACACTGATGCCGCACATTTTCATGTTTGCCTTCAACATGTCCTAGGTCAGCAGGATGAAGACTAGGACCTCATATACTGAGGTTTGATTTTCAGAGGTGCTGAGTATTTACACTTGACTTCAGTGGGAGATGTAGATGTCTCTGGGTGATCCGAAGAGTGTATCTGTTTTATCTAGTAGAAAAAACACATGGCTGTACACCAGTATTTCTTAAACTGCAGTCGGAGGTGTGCAGCGGAGAACAGAGTTTAAAATGGCTGCCTCTAAAGGGGAAGGCAACCTTTTTTATTGCTCAATAACTTTCCCCTAGCATTTTTTTTCTCAACAAAAGATCCTTGGTGTTCCTCGGTCTTAAAAAGTTTAAGAAACCCTGCTGTACATGGTCCTAAATGTGATCACGAGCAGATGTCCCCATGCTTCAATGTTACTTTTCTGTACCCTGGTGAGTATTGCTATGCTGCAAGTAATGGGTTCTAATAGGGGATGTATTGCTCCCCACATCTTGGGCCTAAATGAGGTTGGATGGGTTTTTAATTCTGTGGTTGCCTTCTGGAAATTAATCCGGCTCCTAGTATTATAAATGTCTCTCCACTGAAGCCTTGCTTGAGCGAACAGTTGTTTGGGCCAGATTCGTCTCTGATGTAACTGTTGACTTAAAGCATAAAAGTGAAAAGGAAACATTAGCAACAACTAATTTGGTCCATTATGTTTAATGGCAAGTTGGGAAGTTCACTAAACTAATATAAGAAACCATGATTTAAATAAGACAGTTAAGCAGAAACTGAAGAGAGGAGCAAATAAAATCCTTAGCTCAACAACTACGGGGGTGGACACCAAATAGTGGGAATTTCTGTTGTTAAAACTTCACTTGCCTGATCCTGATCTTAATACTCTGTCTTCATCTATTGATGTGCTGGATTCAGAGGTTGCAGGGGCCGTAGATTCTGAGCTGCAGAAAATGTGGTGGCTGTAAAAGTGCTGTCCAGCCACAAATAGGCAAACAAAATGATCAGTGTTATGACCATGCAGCGTTTGTGAACCTTTTAGTCAATGTACAAGTTTGTTCTTGACAAATTTTTGGGACTGATCCAGTTCATCAAGAATCTGAATTCCAATACAAATTGGATTAATTTTAGTTAAAGGTCTGTGAATATTTAAGTAAGTATTTGCTATTTTAAGACTATTGTGCCAGGTTTATTTCCATTAAATTCTGAAGTATTGTACCAAGGAAGAATCTGTCCCATTGTCCTGTGCGGGGGAGGGCTCCAATGCCCAGCCCCAGCCCCCCAGCATTTTTTGAGGGGATGGAGCTACATGGTCCAGCCCCTGGCAATGCTGCTCTAGAGTGGCAGGGCTGCTGCTGGCGGAGCTCCTCCCCCATCTGGTGCTGTGGCCGGGAAGCCACTTACCTGGGCCAGGGACTGGCAACATGGAAAGTCCTGGCCCCTGCTGGCCACACTGTTCCTGGAGCAGTCGCCCCCTTGTAATCACTTTCGAGTATAGCTGTTCCTCGCACTCGCTGTAGTATAACTGTCCCTCCTACCAGCCCCTCCCTTGCTGTGTTCTGGAAAACAATCCCATTCCAGGTACATCCCGTTTTTCTGGCACAACCAAACCCTGCCCTTGCTTTAACTTAGGGTAAGAGGATCCCAAACTTGGCTATCACCATTTAGGAGTTCTTGAACAAAGAAACTCACAGATGGACAGACTCATGAACAGACACACAAGCTCTCTAATATAGACAGATTCTGATCATTACAAAGTAATAGTGCTTTGTAATATGAAACTTTCTGTGCAAACATTGAGGGCTAGGTTCTCCTAAGGCTCCCTTGTTCTGCATGAGCATGAGACGTGCAAAGTGGACTTAAAACAGCCAGAGATGGCCAGTGGAGAATATTACCGGTGCTAGGAAGCTCTCTGCTTGCATAAAGCTGCGAGAGGGAACATACTGACCTCTGCCAGCTGCCCACAGGGGAGGGGAAGAAAGCACTGCAGAGTACAGCTACACCCCATCTGCTTCTCCACTGGTGTAAGATCCTTGAGGGTTCTCGCACCACTGACTGAAGAAAGGCCAGGTCTACACTAGACCCAGTAGCTCAGTTTAAGGTCTGCAACTGCAGCTACATACAATACAAATGTGGACGTGTCCTCACAGCTCCTGTGGGTACTCACCTTTCTCCTCACAAAGGGAGGAGTACCAGATGCCAGCGGGGACAATCTGTGAGTTCAATTTAGCAAGTTTTAACTAGACTCACTAAATCGAGCCTCTGGAAGATCGATCATAGCATCGGTGATCTTCCATGTAGTAACGGCAAACCCTTGGAGCTCTTCTGCCATTTTACCTGTCCTCAGGGCCTGATGCCTCAGAAACAGGGACTCATTTAGCTGAAACTCAGACACAAACAAGAACATGCCTATAAAAAAATCCTACAGCATAAATGCTTGCCAAAGTTTGAAAAAAGAATGGTACACTTGATATAATT